GGTAAATAAACTGGCAAATGTTTTCCGCTTGCAAATTCAGTTCGGTAACCGAAAAGGAGGCCGGGAGGTGGACACTCCGTAGGCAAACACAAACTTGATTTGATCCTGGCTGGCAAAAAGATGAAAAAAGAGATTCTAACCAAACAGGATTCATAGTTGCTGTGGTTCAGATGCACTTGAAAAAAAGGTTAAAGCTTTAAATAAAATTAAATAATGCAACCTGAACAACAGTGCGTATGTGTAATATACTTCAGAATGATATTTCAAACTAAGACAACAGTGCGTATGCGTAGTACATTTGAAACCCATTCAGGGATTTATTTTTTCAAGTGTTTGTTGTTTCCCATCCTGTTGCTGTGGGAGGCAACAGCTGCTGAGAAGGCTTCTGGTTTCTGGCTTTTTGGTTCACTCGAATCAAGTTAATTTGTGCCAGGACCAGGTTCTGGGTTCCAGGTCCTGGAACCCCAAAGAGGAGCCTCCTGCCGCCAGTTCCTGCAACTGTGTTAATTTTTTCGGACGCTTTTAATCGAATTTTGTTGTTGAACCAACTGCGGGCTCCGGATCGAATCGGGAAAAAGAGGAGATGTCTAGGGGCCAGTTAAAGGTTTTTTCTGGTTTGCTGCTTTTGCATTTTGCGTGTTGATCTAAGCGGTTTATTAGCCCCGATTTACAAGTAAGCTGCTTAACATTGCCCGCACCAGGCTGCCCATTATTTAATAATGAAAAGAGTCCCCCGACCCCCAAAGGATTCTCATTCCCCTAGAAAATGAAAGCTTAAAGTTGGAATATCCTGCTGGCATGGGGCTTTGTCTCATTCTTGGCTTATTGTCCTTGTTTTTGTTTGGCTTGGCCGGGCAGTTGATTTTCTTCGACAATTTAATGTGTTGACAGTTGGGAAAGTTTTGTTTGTTTTCTGGCTTTTTTCCTCGGCGCTCGGAAAAGTATTTATCAACTTGTGGTGGTCATTGTGACAATGTGACGAATTCATTGAATATGCTGATTGATTTTGTCCATAAATGATTAATGGACAGTCTTACTAAAATTGCTTTTATGGCTGTTTACTTTGTTCTCCGAGGCGTTCGATTCAATAAATAGATGCTCTTCACATGACTTATTCAAGAAATTTCTGCTCGATTCTGTTAGAAGGGAATGGAAATGGCAAAACCAAAAATACACTTGCCATTGCCATTCACACATCAAATTGAAATCAATGTTAAATGGCAAATGACAACAGCAGTGGCAGTCGAGTGGGTGGAGGCTGGGGAGCTGCCGCTGGTATGTTGGTTAAATATTGATTTTGATTTTCCACATAATTGCAATTAGTTGATGAATGTGGATGCCAGGCTGTTGCAGCCCTGTTTCCCCATTTCCTGCTCCTCTGCAACTGCCACTGACGGTGTCTGATTCTGATTAAACATGGTGTCGGAGCAACATCGAAAACAGGAACTCAGGCAATAACAGGCCCAGGATGGGGCATTCAGCTGAGCAGTTGCCACGTTCTGGTTTTTAAAGTGCCACAGTGGCAAGGAAAACCAACAAAATTAAACGAGTTTTAAATACTTGAAGCTGAAAAGTTAGCTATTTATGCTATTTAAGTATCAGATTATTTTTAGTAAAAATAAATAGCTGATATTTAATAAATAAACACTCATTTGGACTTTATTTCTCCACTGTGCCGTAGCTTATATCCTTCGTTTGCCAGCAACGCCCTTTTGCTGTTCCCTTTTTGGTTTTCCTTCAGCTCCACCGCCTCTCCCCCTCAGCCACCCACTTCGGGACGTCCTGATGAAAAGCCACTTACGCACAATTTTCACAACTCAAAAGCATTTTATTGATTGCACTTTAAGGACCCCGGGATGGAGGTCCTCCCGGGTGCCTGCCAGAAAACCAAAACACTCATACGCCACGTTGGCTGGCACAGTGCCTCAAAGAATTGTGCCACCCATTTTTTCTCTCTCGGCTACTGCGTGTGTGAGCGGGGTGCGTTTATTGACTGTCGTTTTTGAAATTGAGTTTTTTCTGCCTTTTAGACCATCACCCCCCCAGAAAGTTGGTTAAACTTCTGGGGATCTTTCCGAAAGGCAATTTAGCCCTCAAGGCTTCAGGCTTCAGCCAGATGTATGCAAATGTTGCCCGAAAAATCAAAGTCACTTTGCTCATTTTTGTTTCTGTCAGTAGCTGTTGGTTAGATAACACATTTGGCTACGGAAAATTCCTTATTTTCCGGGATACTTGGGATACTCTCTCTGCCCTCGGGGTTAATTGTGCGAGAAGGCTAATGAACGTCGAGTCCTGGCGTCATTCGACAGCAGCTGTGTACGTCCACTGCTCCAGCTTGTTAATTGTTTTTGAAATCGTTGAGTGAACATTAATAAGATGTAAATTTGATGAAAACTAGAAAAGTCTGATATCTGAGCGGGGGGATTTTTAATTGGTAATTGGGGGTTGAATTTTGGTTGTACGACTTCGGTTGTATTATGAATTCTGAGTGGAAAAGTTTAATTGCCAGCAGGATAACTTTGATTGCTAATTCATATGTTAATAGGAGGTGGCTTTGATAGTAATAAGGTAGTAATATGTTTACTTTTTGGGACTAAAGGTTTCTTTAGAGTCTTCTAATCCTTTTGAATTAAAGCCATTTTATTCAAATAACTTTCTCAACATTGAAACATGTCATCCATAAAGTAATTTATGGGAAATCAAGCCATCTCCAAGCACTATTCATTGCCTTTATATCTGAGCATTGTTTGCAAATCGCTTAATTATTGCTGATGGCATTTTATTGGGGCATCGGGCCATAAAAGGCGGTCACACCGCCTGGTCCTTTTCGGGGCCAGCATCAATAACGGCCGATTCCAACCACATCCGAGCATCCACTTCCCTTTTCCCGGTGCCTGGTGACATTCTCGTAGTTGCCACGGCCTAAAAGCATAAATTTCCCGTGGCTTGGCCGAAATCAACGCCAAATGCTGTAAACGTTTTGCTTATGATTTTTATTGCACGCACACTGGGATACGAAAAATAAGAAATACTTATAGACATTTTGCCGCAGCCTTAAGTGCGAAAAAAAAACTGAAAAAGTCTCCGCCCGAGACGACCCATGACGATGACTTGTTTATGGCAGGCGGTGGGCCTTTGCCACGCCCTTTTTCCTACTTGGAATGCCTATGTATGGGCGGGCACTTGGTTTATTTCATTACGTTTCCTTTGATGAGCCGTTCTACATATTTTTGCATTATTTAGTAAAGGATATGCTAAAAATGGAAGTGAAAAATGTATAGCATACTTTTTGGGGCAAGCATTTCCATGCACAAAGAAATATAAGACTATGCTTTTAAACCTTCCGAGAAGCACTCACATAAAGTTGAATCTTTAATAATCTTTCAGAATCTTTTGAATTAAATTATTTCCATTTCCGAAGAAAGAAAGGAGACCCCTTTAAAGTGCTCTGAGTATCTAATATGCCCGATTTGGCCTTATCTTGCTGGTACTTTTTTTTTTTTTGGTTCTGTTGGCACTTGCCAAACAATGTCAGTTTTCAACTTTTAGCGCATTTTTCAAATTAGGTTAGCGGAACACTGGCAGGGGACGGAGGTCCTTGGCTGTGTGTGTGTTATTTTTTTGTGTAAGGACGTGATGGTGTTGGCCCCAGTGAAAGTTTCATATTGTTTCTGGCGGAAGGGATAGGGCTTGATGGTAGGCTTGTTAGCATCCTTCCTTCCTGAACTTCCTGCGCCACAGTTTTCACAGCTGCTGCCCGTTTAACCTTAATGGTCGGGCCAAAACCAGGGCGGCACCCTTACACCCTCATATCCTTACAGCCTTGTACCCTTCCCACTGACTTGGCCCCGCCCCTTATTTGCGCACTGTTTCATTTTGATGTGCACTTATTTTTCAATTTGTGCGCGTGGGCATCCATCTGCCTTGTCAGTCACTGGCTTCTTCCCAGTGTCCCACTCGCGGGGCCTCCTTGCCACTTCAACGTCATCTTGGAGAATTATCAGAGACTGCGTCAGCATCTAAATTTAATGTTTACCTGCCCCCCCCGCTCATCTCCCTGCTGCTCTCCCCGACGGGTCTTTGTTCTTGGCCATTCGTAGTTGGCCAAGTTTTATGCTCGCTTTTTATGCCACCACGCACCGTTGAGCACTTGTTGTTGGCGCTCAGTGTTGCTGCTTTTTAGTGCTGTCCTAATGAAATTTTTAAACGATTTTGTCTCACTTCATGGCCGGCAGCAGATTGAAGAGCTCAAATAGCAGAAGAATTTCAACAAGGTTGAATTCAATTGGTTAGGATATTATAGTGAGGGTTACACAAGTTTGTGACTAACTTCCTCTACTCTTCAAACTCCAATCCTATCCTAATAATAATCACATTATTTTATATCATAAATTAATTAAAACTGCCTTTAGTAACTCTTTGAAATACTCCCTCTGGTAATTAACAAAATGATTATCCGTTCGCAACACGAGGCTTCTCCAGCAGCCGTATTTTACTTTTAATTAAACTTAATTACGAAATAATTGAAAAGGAAACACTTCAAAGCGCTAAGATTATTACGAATTTAAATGAACCAGAGCACAAAACTATACTATAGTGTGGTATAGCATAGGAGTGTGCGTTTCGCACCTGTGCAGGTGTGTATGTGTTGCCATGGCAGTGCTGCTGTTCTTGGGAAGCTGTCTGGGCCATAAATTTACACTCGAAATGGCTAAAAGGAGAACTAAGCAGCAGCCAGGTAAGCGCACGAGCACAGCTGGAGGGGCTTTAATTAGAACACCTGACTAACTAAAATACACACAGGACATACATAGTACACAGCATCTCTATTACACGAGCACGTAAAATAGTTATCCAGTAATATAGTTAGTTTCCATTTATTTCAATTAAAAATTCAGTTGGCCAAAGGGGAACATACATAAATATTTATTGCTAATCACATTGACCTTAGACTGCCTCACTAACTAAACCTGTGTTGCCTTCTCTCTCTCTTGTTGCAGGTAGTGTTTGGGCGATGAAGTCATGTGGAAGTGGCAACAAAGTAAACACACAACCTCAGCCATGGCCAGTACAATTATAGGCGAAAGTTAATTAAATGCTGCATCATTTGCAAAACTGCAAAAAGGAATTCTTAACAATCGCAATAAAACTTTTGTCGAACAAAAGTAATTAAAGGACCTCGCACCATTACCAATACCAATACATAGTCGGGCCCACATTGCCGCTATGCGACAACAAAGTTGCTAAGAGCCATAAGGACGAAAGGAGTCGAGAGGACTAGGTGGCAGGAGCAGGAGCAGGTGCAGGCCTAACGGCAGGGACTGAGGAATCTTGTGCATGGCCAGACGCCAGCTAACGTTGCCAGCCGCAAACAGCTAACAGGACGAAGGACGAGCCACCCAGTCACGGCCAGCAAAATGCAGAAGGAGAACAATGTTACGGCGGAGAATTGCCAATTTGTGGGGCCCTATCGCCTTGAGAAAACTCTCGGCAAGGGTCAAACGGGTAAGTGCTACGAAAAAGGCTTATTTGGTCTGGTGGTTCAAGATAAAAATAATAACATTTTAAAGAGATTTTTAAAAAGAACAATAAGTACGATGATTTTTTTAGTTATTAAAGAAAACATTGTCAAATGATTCTACGATATATAAGTATACCTACTTAGTTAAACTTTTGATTCTAGGTACAACTTGTCAAGTTTATTATCCTTTCTATAATAACCCCTAGAATAACTAATAGCTCAAAACTATTGCTGCCAACATCTTTTCACATAGTTTCCTATTACTCCCCGAACCACTTGGCCAGAATCTACTGTTACCGTTACATTATAGCCACATTGTCCTTACTGCAATCACGATTTACCATTACTCCCTTTTCAGGACTCGTCAAGTTGGGCGTGCACTGTGTGATTGGCAAAAAGGTCGCGATTAAAATAATCAATCGCGAAAAACTGAGCGAATCAGTGCTAATGAAGGTAAGTGCCTTCTGCGGGGTCGAAGGTCATGACTCGGTGGAAAGTTTCTCCTACGATTGTTGCCTTTCATTTCATTTTATTGTTTTTGTTTTTCTCAGTTTATGATTTTGCTTTCTTCGCTTTCTTTTGCTTTCCCCGCCGTTTGTTTTTTCGTGTTTTGTCTTCTTTTGTGGCGGACGAGTCGTAAAAAATTGTGACAATAAAATTTGTTTTGTGGCTTGTTGTTTTATGACTCGGGGCTCCTTGAAAGTGTAATAGGTAGATGTCAGAAGAAAAACTTAAACTTTTAGTAAGGTTCTTACAGATTTTTTGGGGCCACAATTTTATGCAAAAGTGAGAAAATAAATCAAAGATTTATTGATTCTTAAAGTGGACTTAAAGTATTGATGGTACTTTGTATAAAAATTATAAAATTCATTAAAGTAATCATGGATATAATCGATGTCCTGCTATATTCGGAAGCCCTTCAAGTCCCTGGTGAGGACTCTTAATAGATTTCATTAATTTTCCGAGCCGCCTCCATTCATTCGATTTCTAATAAAAGTCAATGCGAGGCTCAACTATTTATCTCTTTGTTGCCGTCATAATAAAACCATACAAAATTATACCCCTCCTCTTCAGACCACACCACAGAAAAAAATGAAAATGGTGCACTTTTTGTAGGACATTGAAAGGACATGGGACAAATTAGTGCGTGCGACAACAAAGTAAAACAAAATTGACAGACTGGGTGGGGGAATGGTTCTTTTTTTTTGGGTTCAGACATGTAGGACAATCCAAATGCAAGGTGGTGCTTGAGGTGAGGACGGTGGCGAGGTGGGGCGAGCACTGAAAAGGATCAGGGGCACAGGGTGTAAATGAGTATAAAGCACCGCCGATGATTGCGTGTGGTGTCCATGTTATGGGGCCAGCTGCTCGGGACACGCAATGAGAAATTGGACGCCATTCGGAGGACAACAATGGGCCATTATGGCCGGCTGAAGAACCAGGGTCTTTGAATGCATTGCCAGTGCACTTTAAGAAATAGAATCAAATAGTTTATAGTAGAGGATATAAACATATATTAAACTATTAAAACTAGCTTTACAGTATTAGACTTATATTTTTCTTAACTTATAAGTTCATGATTTTTAATAATTTTATTTAGAAAACCCCTTAATTTAAAGTGTATTTCAAAGGATCTATAGAAACCTGACGCTATTGTCGATAAGTCGATTAAAATCGTGTGTCGGCTCCCCAAACACACTCTCTTCTTTACTTTCTTTTTGCAAAGGTTGAACGTGAAATTGCCATAATGAAACTAATCGATCATCCGCATGTCCTTGGCCTGAGCGATGTGTACGAGAACAAGAAGTATCTGTACTTAATATTGGAGCATGTATCCGGCGGGGAGCTCTTCGATTACTTGGTGAAGAAGGGCCGACTGACGCCGAAGGAGGCTCGCAAATTCTTCAGGCAAATCATCTCCGCCCTGGATTTTTGTCATTCGCATTCGATTTGGTAAGTCCTTGCCCCCGTCCCTGTCAAAAAAAAAGGACTCCTCCCTAAACTGTAATCAATATTCGATTATTCGGTTTAACAGCCATCGAGACTTAAAGCCGGAGAATCTGCTGCTGGACGAGAAGAATAACATTAAGATAGCGGACTTTGGTATGGCATCCTTGCAGCCAGCCGGCAGCATGCTGGAGACATCCTGCGGCAGCCCCCACTACGCGTGTCCTGAGGTCATACGGGTAAGTCTCGCTTGAATAATGGTTATAAAATTGGTTTCCAGCCAGCTACTCTTTCCACTCCTGCTTGCCGCTTATCTGTTGGTGCGGCAAACGCATAAACGTCAATCAAGGCGAACTTTTTAGCACATTTTCAAATGCACGCTGCAGGACGACCAGGAGCAGGAACACCAAGGGCGCCAGAAGTTGCAATGGCAGCATCCTGGGTCTCGCTTTCCCATGCAAATTTTGTCAGGCTCCCTTCTATGCAAATGCATCCCGTGTCATGTGCGCATATGATTTCCCATCTATCTGCTGGGGGAGACACTGCTAGAAAAAAGGGGACTCTTAAAGGGTGTATCCTTCAAGAGGGAATCAAGTAACCGAAGTGTAGAAATGCTTATTAAACAGTTGATACTTAAAGATATGTTAGTATAATTAGACTCCAGACTCTTTTATTCTAACTCCTTAGAATCCTTTTCTTTCAGTGCCCAGTGCATCATTTTCTTTACGCAGAAGCTTCACCAAGATCCTGCTTGATGCTTCGTGCTCCCGTGTCCGTAATAAATTCATAAGGGGAATTTTAAAATATTTCTCATGCTGCCTTATCATATATACTCCGGCTGGGTTATAAATCTGGCTCGCTACGTGATGTTTAGCTTATCTATACCGTATATATCCGTTCCTTTTATAAATATTCAACAGTCAAAGCTCAGCTGGGAGTTGCTGTAGTTTTTCCCCCAACTCCTAATTGATGTCTGCTAACCGAAGCTGTACCAGGCAGATTCTGGGAAAAACCTTGACAATTTGTAGGGGAAAATTGCGTGGAAGAGGCCTCTGTACTCAATCACTTAAGTGGTCGTTTATCAATCTTTGGCCAGGGGTTGGGGTTGGGGCTAGGCCACAAACGAAGCCCCAAAGCTGGTTTAGGGTTACCGACGTGTCGGCAAAAAAATTTTTAGCCTGCTTAATGGAGTGTACCCAGGACATATAATCTTACAAATTGGAGTTTCTCTAATTGGGATATTTTTTTAAGAAATAGGTGCTTTGTTTAAAGTAGCAAAGAAAGAGGATCTTCTTCAACCTCAAGCCTAAGCAACTTTAATTATTTTTTAATAGCTAGTAATCATCATACGAGTTATTTAAAGTCCTTGTAATTTTTTCTAAATACCCAAGACCTATTTACTTTGTGGTAACTGGCCCGGAGTGGAATTCACATATTACCAGTCTATAACCAACAGTCGTGCTACAATTACACATTGTAGTGGCCAACAAACTGCGAGTCATTGTGCCATTTACCTGGCAAGTCAATAACCGTCCCCTAGGAAGCCGCAAAGACCGGGCACGGGAGGGACAGAAATGGAACTTGGCATTTGATGGACACGTCAATGGACGTCAACGAGTTTAACGGACCGACCGAACCTACATACTCCCTTCCCAGCTCTTTCCCTTTTTCCATTTAATTCTTAAATAGAAGGCAAGAAAACTTTTTAAATTAGTAAGCATTCAGTGTTGGGTTTACGGCTTTGGCCATATGGAATGTATATGTATGTAGTTTGATACCAAAAAGGGTGAAAGGTCCTAACGATTTGGGGCCACGCACAAAGGGCCAATCGAATTTCGAAATAATCAAACTGAAAGCAAACATAAATGAAATGTCGATCCGAAAATCGAACCAAAAAAATGTCTCAATCTTTGATTTTTTTGTCCTTCTTTCTTATCCTTACAGGGTGAGAAGTACGATGGCCGCAAGGCGGATGTCTGGTCCTGTGGTGTCATCCTGTACGCCCTGCTGGTGGGTGCGTTGCCCTTCGACGACGACAACTTGCGCCAGCTGCTGGAGAAAGTCAAGCGCGGCGTCTTTCACATACCGCACTTTGTGCCGCCCGACTGCCAGAGCCTCCTGCGGGGCATGATTGAGGTGAATCCCGACCGGCGTCTCACGGTGAGTCATTCTCCCAATTCCCCAGGAATGCAGTCATAACTGGCTATTTTTTCATAAATAAAATTTGGGGTCTATTGTTAAGGAGTATCTTTTATATTTGGTTTTAGTTTTAGACATTTTTTCTATTTATTTTTTAAATTTCAAATTAAAAGAAACCAATTAAAAATAATGTTTTTTATTGCATCTTATCCAATAACATATATCTTAATAAACTCCAATTTCCCTTTTCATTAAGTAATATATTTTTTTTTGGAGTGCCATTGGTGACTCATTTTGTTAGCCACCCTTCCGGCGGTTGTTGGTTTTTTGGGTCACCAGCTATTTACCCATTCCTCTCCCTCATTTGGTCTTCATCCCCCCTCTGAAAACTGTTTTCGCTTTTTATTCCTCACCACTGGCAGTTGGCTGAAATCAACCGCCATCCCTGGGTCACAGCCGGGGGCAAAGGTGAGCTCGAGCTGGAGCTGCCGATGATGGAGGTGGTGCAGACACATGTCATTCCCACAGCCACCGCAGTGGACCCGGATGTGCTGAATGCCATTTGTTCGCTGGGCTGTTTCAAGGAGAAGGACAAGCTCATCCAGGAGCTATTGAGTGCGAGGTGGGTTTTTGATATTTTTTAAATTTTTTGATTCTCAAATTTTGTATCTCTTTCTAGTCACAATACGGAGAAGGTTATATATTTCCTGTTGCTGGAGCGCAAGCGGAGAAGGCCTGCTTTGGAGGATGACGACGAAATTGCCCAGAAATCCCGCAGCGAACTGGATGCAGTGGATCCTCCTCGAAAGCGTCTAGACACATGCCGCATCAATGGAACCAATGCACCCAGCTATGGACAGATCTCAGAGGGATCACCGCTCACGCCCAGACGACAGGCCTTCAAGTGAGTTTTAAGATTAAAAATATTGGAATTATTTCTAATAATTGTTCTCCTTACAGCTTCCGGTCGTACAGCAGCACCCGCAACCACCAACGCCGCTCACCCACCACGGTGTCCTCGTCGGTGCGGAGCTCCTCATATCACAGTCCCACGCGGTGCAACTCCCCGATGACCTCCGCCCAGCAGCAGGCGAATGCCATTTCCCGACCCTCCTCGCCAGCGGCCGGAACCCGACACTCCACCTATGGAGATCGAGACCGCTCCGGATCGGTTCATCACTCCTCGGTCAGCCGGACACCGTCACACAGTTCCCAGAAGAGCATCGAGGGCGATGTGGTGGTGGTGCGGGAGCCGCGTCTCGAGCGGCGGGACTCGCTGCGTCAGGAGAGAGGTGGTGGAGCGTCGCGGGAGCGAGGGGATTGCGGTATGCCGCCGGGCAGTCCGGGCGGCAACTCCAGTGGCTCCACGGCCGCCTCGCCGTCGGTGCATCATCGTGCCAACTCAGGTCCGACCATTGCCATTAGTATGTTCCACGATCCAGAGTCGAATAGTGGTGTGTGCATGCCCCGTAGACCCTTTGTGGTATCCCTTAAGTGCTCCCAGGATAATGATTAACATGTTCCTATTTTTTGCTTATTTTTCCACAACAGTTGTGAATCCCAATGGCTCTCCGATGATGAACAATAGTAGTCCGGGCATGCCAGGCTCGCCCTGCAACACGCCCGGAGGACAGCTCTGGAAAACACGACTCACCAACATCAAGAACAGCTTCCTGGGCAGTCCGCGTTTCCATCGCAGAAAAATGCAGGGTATGTCTTGGGTCTGATTATGTTAATTCATGAATTATATTAATGTTTTTCCTGCTTAGTTTCTGCCGATGAGGTCCACTTGACTCCCGAATCATCGCCGGAGCTGACGAAGCGTTCTTGGTTTGGGAATCTCATCACAACCGAAAAGGACGAAACCTTCACTATTTTGGTCAAGGGCAAGCCCATTGCCACGGTCAAGGCGCATTTGATTCATGCATTTTTATCTGTGAGTTGGGTTTTCATATTAAATGACCCATGGACTATAATTTTGAGTACTTTTAAGATGGCTGAACTCTCGCATAGTGTGGTGTCTCCCACATCCTTCCGTGTGGAGTACAAACGGAATGGCAATGGACCCGTGATGTTCCAGCGCCATGTCAAGTTTCAGGTAAGTGGACTTCCCTACTCCCAGGACGAGCTTCACCTAATGGTTCTTGTACATTTTTTTAGGTCGACATCAGTGCCATTTGCAAGCAAGGTGACATAGCAGATATGTTGTTTGCTCTGACATTTACGCTCCTATCAGGTAAACAAACCATAACCCCCAGCCCCATTAACAGCCTAAATATAACCCGTTGCTTACGCAGGTAACATTCGGCGTTTCCGACGCATTTGCGAGCACATCCAGTCCCAGGTGTGCTCCAAGAGGTTCCCGGGTCCCAGCAGTCCGCCAACGGTGACCACCGTAACCCAGGCCGTGTCCGAGAGTTCCTCCTGCGGATCGGTGTCCAGTGAGAGATTATCCTATAAGCGTCAGGTGGTAAGTTTTCTTAAAAATTTAAATCTTTGTTTAATTTTTAATAATTTTTTAAAATTTATTTTAGATTGAGAATGATATAGAGAACGATTCCATATTCTCGTACAAGTCCGGCAATGGTCGTAGAGCTTCTACCACTAACAATAATAATGCCAATCCCGTTGACATTCCTGGCAGTCCTATTGCAGTGCGATCTAAGTAAGTGTATTTGGAAAGGATTATTAATTAAAGTATTAAATTTAACTAACATTTTTATAAAATTTTTTAGCTCTGAGACCGCTGAACACGAACGCAACCGCGAACTGCAGAGTGAGCGCCAGGCGACAACGATGTCCGGTAGTGCAATCGCATGAGAATTATTTCTCTGATTTAGTTACATTTTTCTCAAGGATATTTGTTTTGACATGGCACTAGTCAACTCTAAGCCCAGCAACCAAATAACGTACTTTAACTAAGCAAACGAATCAGCACACCAGCTGACAAAACAACCAACTTGAAAAACAGTATTTTTTCTGAAATACGAATAGAGCCAGAGATTTTCAACATAATTCCAACCAAAGCAATAATAGGAAAATTTATATACACTAACAATGAAATATATGTAATTCAAATAATGAACCAGAAGCAGAATCAGACATTTTGAATGCCGAATCGAATGAAAAGAACTTTTTGCTAGCTGCTCTAGCTTTTATCAGAAAACTTGATTTTCTAGTTATTGATTTTTTGAGTGATTTTTATTGTATGTTCTTTTTGATGGACATTGTTGCCGCCGCGCCTAAAAAGCTTGCAAATAAAAACACCGTGTAAAAATATACAAAAAAAATGAAAAAACAAAATTAAGACGGATAAACATAGCACTTAGCCTAAGTCGAACCAGTTATGCTAGAGTCATTTTCTTTAATTAGTATAGACCTCGTATTTAGCTACGCAGATGAGGATACCTACTCGAGAAAATACGCTGACAATTTGTATAGAGGATGTATAAAGGATATTATGCAAAATGCACTGATCTTTAACTACTAAAAATTAACAAAGGCATAGAGAAAAGAAAGTCAACTTTTGCATTAACGTAGCGTTGCTGTTTTTTTCTAACAAATCAAATCGATACAACTATTTTGCTAGCCATAATCGAAGGAGCAAGATGAGAACGCAACTATTTTTCCTAAAAACACAAACAAAATACTAAAGTAAATGAATCGCGTAAACTTTCAAACTTCAGATATATGCATATATGACGATCAAAAGAGTGTTGTGCGGTAGATGAACTCAAAAATCAGATATAAACCAAGCTTAAGGCAAAATAAATTAGAATTAAAATTAATCTTGGATAATGAATAATGTATAAAGGAATGATCGGCACCGCACTTGGATAAATTAGACATATAAAGCACCTTACCAGAAACAATATATATTTTGCATGGGCATGACATAAAGCTTTCTTAACCAGTACTTGTATAAAATCAATTTTGGGACGAAATCTATATCTAGTATGTATAGTGTATGGAAGAGGGATTGTACAAATTGTTGAGTTGCACCAGTGACGAAAATACCTAAGAGAGAAATTCGATTGGAGTTTGTATATTTTTTGTATCGGAGTTCGGTGTAGAGCGCGCACTGGCTTGGATTAGACCAAGCAAGCTGTCCACGAATGCACAAATAACCTAACATAGTTTTTCTCTCAGTGTAAGAAGCGTGTGTCGCCCGGCAACCTGGCAACCCCCAATAAACAATCACATTGAATCCTAACCTCCCTCAACCTACCTTACTTTTGAGTGGTTTTCATAGAATATAGTTTTATTTTGGTTCTGCTTTCTTTGCTTTATAACGACACATACGATAATTTGAAACTAAAAGACTTAAGAAATTGACATAAAGCTAATGAAATCCAACAAAGAACCGTCCATTTATCCACTTAAAACTAACAAAAATGTAGTTTCAAGCTGCAACTCAGCAATTTGTGGAATCGACCCGGCGACGAGTGTAAAGCGACAACTGATTATATGTATGTACGAATAATACTTAAAAGGATATAGTTATTTAAACTGTGTATGACAGCAATATCAAAATAGTCAAGGGACGATTGTAAGAGGGCAACAGTACGATACTAAAAGTGATTAGAACAAATATTAAACGAAAAGTTAATGAAAACAAAATGCTTCAATGATAGATAAACCAAAATCGCGTAAAATATGCAATAATGAAAGAATACTTAATATATTTAATGACTATTGAATCAAGTACTTGAGAGAATACACAAAAACTTAAAACTCGAACAAAAAATCATACAATAATATTGAAATGGAATTACTTTTTAGCATTAACTAACAATACATCAAGTTATTTATCGCTCATCAATATGGAAGGTACTCGCGAGTATACTCTATAACGCATTTAAGCTGAACATACATTCAAAATTAAGCTCACCGATTTGAAGAGATGGCATTACCTATATTTATACATGCATATATCATATACACATTGATCACGGAAATCTTTATATACATACCATATTATATTCTGTATTTACTTTCTTATACAAGAAGAGAACAGTCCTCCCCTGACTTGTACCCAACATATACGACTTATACATCTATATGCATCACCGACACTCATACCTACATCCATATACATATATTTACATAAAAGCGCATTTAATACCAAAACCAAAATTGTAAAAATTGTATTTTTCACAACAATCTACTTAGAATAACCACAAACAAACTCTGCATACTAAAACTGACATAAAAAAAAGGATAATTGCTTCATATAAGAAATGAAGAAATCTTAATACTCAATGCTGCATTATGCCACGCCTACCTTTTTACCTTAACTGAAACGCCTATACTAACCTAGAAGATCAACCAAAATTTTCGCGCTCTTTTTCCAAAAAAAAAACTAAATTCTTAAAAAAAACATAATCAACCACCAAACCCAACTAACTCATTTTAACTGCTTGGTCTTAACTGCACGAGCAGCGAATAATTGCGCCGAGATAATTTTATATGCAACGTATACATATTTCTATCTATAGTATATATATATATACACCCCGATATATATATACATAAATATATATATACACGACAGCCAGCGCTTCACTTCAAATGCAAATGCAATCGCAAACGCAGTGCAATGGAGAAAATGTTTATTACACATTACGAAATAAACGATTCGAATACTTATTAAAATACATTTACATTTAGAGGGTAATGTTGTGTATTGTACTACGCTTTTTACGTTGTTCGTTTGTTTTCCACCTTCTGTTTCACACTAAACACATTATTATATGGTAACATTGTAATTAGTTCTGCAAGTGACTAGGGCTAAGTTATATACTGCATTGTGCGCTTTGTTTTGTATCCTTCGGATATAGGTTGAATTATTGTATTTTGTAATTTAATTTTAAGCGTCTAAGCTGGCCAGGATGGCGACAGGCCGAAGGTAAGCCGGTAATGAGATAACAAATTAAAACCAACAATTGTAAAAGAAACCAAAAAGAAATCAACAAACCAAAGGAAAGGATAAAATAATAAACAAACAAAAAAGTGCATCTGTTATTAGGTTAAAAGAATTATTGATATTGTTTGCAAGAAAAATGTGTGAAATATATATATATATAAATATAAATACCACTTAGCATAAACAAAAAAAAAACGTGAACAGAAAGCGAACAACAAATTGTAATGCAATTTAAAAATAAAATTAATATTTCAAATAATAAATTAAAGTGTTTTTTTTTAAGATTATTTAGGGAAAAGATTAATTTTTTATGAATTTTAATACTTTATTAATTATTTTACCAAAAAATAACCTTTTCCTGCCAGAGAAAAAAATTGAATCGTAATAACCCAAAAATATTAAGTATACGCACTGGTGTACTTACTCTCCATACGCCACTCAATCACCTTGCTGTAACCCACTGTGCTTTATGGATTACGTCACTTACCGCCATGTATCCTTTCCGCCGGAGGCTGACCCTCGAAAATCAGCTGTTCCGACCAAGGATAACCCCGAAAGGAGAGGCGGGCAAGGCGTAGGAAACGTGCGAAACGCCGCATGCATTTTGCGGCAATCAGCTGTGGAGCTTTGAGGGAAGCTCCCCATACCCCAAATCGCCATTCCCGAGCTTCGGAGAGAGCCGAAGGAGGGAGCTTTGTTTCCGAATAAAGCTGCCGCCAGTGCAAGTGGCGCGACATCGAAAAGCAAGCGGCGCACCAGAGACATTTCGGTGTTCGCGGCGCCTCGTCATCCTGCCTTTTCCGCTTTTCCGAAAAAGCGAAACGAAAATGCGTGCCAACTGCATGAAAAGGAAAACTTGGTCAGTTGAGTGCTCAGTTCGGGTCGGGTTTGCAATTCAACAGCACTGCGAAATCGGAGAAAATCGTTCGCTCCGCCAAAGAGTCACCAGTTTCAGTCTGTGTTTCAGTCTCCAACAGGGCAAAACACAATAAGCCAGCGTAGTAATATCGACTTCACCTCTCCACACCATCTATATATATATATATATGCTATAGCATACACCTATATATTATTCGTAGCGTATAAAGTAAGAAAACGGAAAATCGTAACCGCACGGGAATGAATACGAAAGTGCCCGGGGCACCACAAATGCACATTGAGTGGCCCCAAGTGTTGAGAAATGATTGAAAAAAAAACGCATGGAAATTGCAATGTGCGAAATTAAATGTGAATTTGTGTTTTGAATTTTTAACGCTCCCGACTGCCGACTGCTCCTGCGACTCCTTTTCGGGGTCCTTTTTTTGTGTTGTTTTGTTGAATCGCTGGCTGGCTGCAGTCAGTGAGTGAGCGATTGAGTTATGTAAAGCTTCGGTGTTGGCTTCTTTTGGTGTACGGTTGGGTTGCGGGATAATAACCAGCAACAACTCTCGGAACAACAACAATGGCCAGTGGCAAGTGCAACAAAAACCACTGCGCGTGTGAAGCGACAATAAGCGTTGCAAGATTGAGTGGCTTAAACAAAAAAAAATAAACTGTTATTAAAAATTAAAGGCGTGAGAATAAAAGTGGATTGTGTTGGCGGATAAAAATTAAGTATACGCACTGTTGGATTATGACTAATAAAAATTTAAATTCAACATTTAAGAACTTTTCCCAGAGCGTGTTGGGTGGCTATAAAAATATTGAAATGAAATGATGTGAGAGTGGATAAAAGGATAAAGTTTTTAAGGTTTTAAGAATAAGAAAACCCCAAAAGAAACTCCCCAAGTTTATGTAAAGCCCCGTGCCAAGTCCGTCAATCAAATAGCATTCGCAAAAACCATTTCTTTTCAATCCCTAGTAATTAGCCCATTGCGCCATATCATAACAATACAATCAGTTTGTCAATCGGCATCAATTACCAATTACAAATTGACAATAAAATCGCCAAGTGTCTGTATTAAGTGGGTGGGTGGGGTGTCGTCTAGTCTGAGGGTGCAAGATCAGAGCCCGAAACGTACACTCACAGATACACCTATCAATTCGCTTTTAGCGGTCTCTCCGACTATTTTTAGTTGCACTTGCCTTCCTTTTTCTTCGTGTTGTTTTTAGTGTCTTGTGTTTTTTTTTTACTTTGCTCAATATTAGTGTCAAGGTGCAGCCAGTGCATAGAGACAGCCGAGCCAAAAGAACAAGACAAGAACAAGAACAAGAAAAAGAACTAGAACTAGAACCAGGCGAATCAAAAGGGAGAAATAGAGGCGGCGGGTGTTAGTGGGGCGGCGGCGACGACATCGCGAAAAGCAACACACGAATGCGACGCCAAAAGGTGGCTATCAAAAAATAATAACAACAACAAACGTCAAAGAGCATGCAGCCCAAAAGTGGGTGGCAACTGCACAGAAATAAAATTTGTATATTTTTCAAAAATATTACTTGTAGTAGCATAAGGAACTTGTAGTACTTTCATATCTTCTCTTATTATTTGGATAAAAATTAAGTATACGCACTGTTGGATTATGGCTATTAAAAATTGATATTCAACATTTAAGAACTCTTCACAGAGGCGGCTATGTTGGGTGTTGGGTGGCTATAAAAATATTGAAGTCCTAAATTTTATTCTAAAACTATTTCCAGTGTTGTGATGGGTCCTTCAAGACTTGTCACATCGAACAGAAAGAAATTGAATTTATGTCTCGGGTGGGTGGGTGGCTTTCAATGACAATTAGGCTGCTATAACCGCAAAGTCGGTGGGTCCATACATAGTATATTTCTACAGGTAACGGTATAGGCAATGCTATAGTCAACGGTATAGGTAACGGTAACGGTAACGGAACCGTGGCGCGTGTTTCGCTCAAAAAGGTAAATCGCGTTAGCAACAACAACAAGGATACGCAGGGCTCAGCTTTCTGGCGACCCACATTACTTAAATTACGAACTACACGCAAAGTCGACGAAAAGCGGCAACGGCCCACACACTCATCGTACATCGTACACAGAGTGTGGCACAACTCACAACTGGGAAAAGTCACACACGCTGCTTTAGACGTCACTCGTTCATCCAGTCAGTCAGTCAGTCAATCATTAGCCAAAATGCCTTATGAGTCAGCTAGTATGCGAATTACACTCTAAGAAAAGTCTTACTTTTCTATGAAAATAATAACAAATAACTTGGAAAAGGGTATAGTTTAAAGTTCCTTGTCTTATATGAAGATATCGCCACAAAACCTTCATATTACGCATACGCAATGTTGTACTAAAATATGTATATCAAATATTAGTCTTGGATAAGGTTCTATAATTCATCAAAATAACAAGAAAAAATGAAGAAAAGGTTATACTTTTACAGACCTTAGCCCAAACCACTATATTAAGTATACGCAGTGTTGCCTCTAACGATAGGCTCTTAAGATAGTAACTCGCAATATTATAATTTTATTATTTTTCCCAGTGCTATGTCCTCGTCGAACATTGCGTGCACTTGGGTGGAGCCTCCTTTGAAAAAAATACAAAAAAAAAGAAAAAAGTAGCGGCAGGAGATTGCGGGGGCAGTGAGACATGTTGCATATTTCGGGGCGTGTTTGGCTGCTAGACAAAAATGTCGCTTTTAACAAAATTCCCGGCATTCCAATGCCGTGTTAAGGACAGACATTGAAACCGAAACATTCTGGCCACAGTAATGAGATGGCTAGCAGACCAAGTGACCAAAATATACCCAGTACCAAATAGTACCATGAAGGAGACTAACTAGAAAAACAACAATTTATTTCCCCGAATAAATAAAAGACACAAGATACAATTAAGTTTAATTTAGTGCTAGAAACGACGTGGCTGTCGGGGGTTCCTTGTTATTTGGCATGTTAAATTCCGAACCCAGTGTTCGGCTCTCACACATGGCATTTTTGTTAGTCTGTTTTGCTTTGGTCTGGTGCTTCGCATTTTTGCATTTCTCTTTGCATTGCTTTGGTTTATTTTTGAACATCTTTCCCACGGAGCGTGCGAAATTAGTTGATTTCGGCATTACATTGTCTGCCAGGCCAAGAAGATGATAAGAATTTATGATCTCTTTGGGTGCTCGGGGTCCTCCTTGCCTTGATCAAGTAAATTCCGAGAGATGACCTTCCTTATGAAGGTCTAGGGTAATAAATTTCCAAAAAAAAAACGACTATCCACGACTATAAATAATTTAAATGCAGCAAACGATTTGTCGTAATTACTTAGAAACGCATTGAAAATGGAATTCAATAAACCTCAATGCAGGTTATTTTTGTTTCATTTGATTTTTATTTAAGCGCGAATACGCCTGGCAATAATTTAGTGTGCATAAAAAAAATTAAAAATAGTTCATTGAGACAAACACGATTTTTACAGCCTGTGCGGTTCGTATATATGGGGGATATATTATAAAGATACATATAGCTATGATGTGTACATAGCAGCGAGGCAGGAAATCAGTGCCATTATGGGAAGTGAAGGAAATTATTTATTAATGAATTGCTTCACAAAATATTAAAAACACTTTTAGCAGATGTTCAAGAAAATAGGGAATAATAAAGTGATAATTGGGAGAGGAATTAATTTCGAGAGAAAATTTTAATAATATTCGTTTAAACAACATTGATCTACAAATTTGTAATCTCGAATTTTTAAAGATCTGATCAAGTTAACTTTCTCTCGGTATATTACGTTTGTTGAAAAACATGAATAAAATATATATTTTTAATATCAACCTAAATAAAGTTGATCTTTATCATTGATTACTTGAAAGTCTATTAAAAGTCCTCAAAGATCTCCTCCCCAGTTTTTCATTTTATCTGTGTATATAGTATATCTTAAAACTTTATCAGTTCCTGCTTAGACCTTTTAAACTCTAAAAGATCCCATTATAAATTTTGCCACAAGTTGTGCTGCCTGTCGCAGGCAAAGACTTTTATCTGGCCTTAGCTTTACATCACTTTACATAAGTTTCCACCTCAAGGAGAGTGGTTTCCAGCTTGCTCTCGGCCCGACTAACTGACTGGCAAATTGCTGGCACTTATGTAAGCAGCTTGGCCATCGCTTGCTTGCTGAAAACTGGCTAAAAATATACAAAAAACTTTGGCCAGAAAGTGGCGTCAAATGAGCAGCATTTCAGTTTCTTTTCAACCCAAAGCGAAAGCCAAAGGAAACGCAAGCGGGAAACTTTAGCATACATCGCAGGGCAGTTAAGACTTCAAAGTAAACAAAGCAATCGTAAAAATGCGAGTGCGAATGTGGAGACAAACGTAAAAGACCGAAGAGAACCATAACGGAGCAAGGGAAACATAAAAACGGTGGGGGTAGGGCCGTCAAATAAAATAAAAACAAATCACATGACGAAACGTAAAGCGTCAAAAGTTGGCCAAATAAGGCAAAAACACAAAAAAAAACCATAACAAAAAATAAAGAAATAAAATAAAACTCGATTGGGGGGATTCCCCTCAACATGCCACGCCTCAACGCCCACTAGCAGGGCGCAAAATCAAAAGGAAAACAACAAAAAAAAATATACATTTCAAAGTGTCGTACGTCGCGCGGGTGTGCTAGTGTGCGTGTTTGAACGTCCTGTGTGTGTCGTTCGTCAGGCGACGCGTGTCCTTGCAACTTTCGGTTAAGCCCAGAGCCCCTCTCGCTCATCCACCCACTCACTCCCACAGGCCACAGCCCACAGCCAGCGGCAATTGCACATAAGTTGCAACAAGCAAAGTAACAAAACAAACAAAAACACAAAAAAAAAGGAGAAAAAAATACGAAAAACCCACAAAAAACACAACATTGTAGCGGGGTGAAAGGCGTTGCCAGATTGTTGGATTACAACAAGAGCAACAACTACTAGCAACTAAAGCAACAAAAAGCAACAAAGCCAACAACAAGAGCAACAACGTCGCCGCCACAATAGCCTAAAGGGCCAAATGAACGTTAGCTAGTCCGTCTGCCGTCCATCAGGTGGCGCTGCGAGCAGTGAGCTGCGAACAACAACAACGACGACGAGAACGACGTTTCGTGCTGCTGGTGCTGCTGGAAATCCTGTCGCTAATTAGGTAAGTCGCCAGCTACAGGAGTGTGTCCTTTGTGGTCAGGTGGCGGGCGTATTATTTCATTTTGGCCTGGCCCGTTGTAATTATGGCAATTTACGTCACCTGCAAGTCAAGTGCAACAAATATTACACATACGCCGTGTAGGCTCGAGCTGAGGCTTGATTACTTGGATATACATTTAAGATGTGTAGTTTATTTTTATATTTATCAAAGACTAGGTCAGTACTCTGTTTATAAAACCTAACGTAATCCAGGTATTTTAGCGAAACTTCTACAAAAAACCCCATCTCTCTTTTTTTTCCCAACGATTGGCAATCAATGATGGATGGAAAACGAAATACGAAAAAAAAAAAACGAATTCGATCCGATTTCTCTTCGTTTGAGATAAAACCGCGTGGCGCTAAATTGAATTTCCTGGTTAAACTGGGGCAACCGATGGCATTCAGGAATGATATAATCATACAGGCAGGTGAAATGACGCTGCAATGTTTGGCTTTCATTTCGGTTTTGAATAGAAGTACATATACTTTGCATTACGGGTGCATGATAAATTGCATCCCAATGATTATCAATTTGGTTGGCCGAATATTCAGATGTTTGTGGGGATTTTAAAAAACTATACTGCATACATTTCTCATCTGATTGGGTTTTGTCAAAAGCTGTTTGAAATTGGTTTGATTACAGAGCGTTAAGTGGAAATATTATAAATATTTTCAGTTCATTCGAGTTTCAATTTTACAAAATAATGCTCATTGTTTGCCTTTTGCCGACAAAAATGCACCGTGTCCGTGTTGCGTGGTGCTTGGTAGGCAGAAAAAATAGCAAAGCCATGTCCATTCATATTTGGCTGTAAAATTCTGACCTACATGCAGCTGAAAACATTAAGCTCTGAATGCCTGGCAAAATGAAAAATCAACAGAAATGAGAATGAAAAGGCCAGCAGGCAAATAAGAAGAGATTCTGGGGGGCTAACTGGCGTCTGTGGCCGGGGATCAGGCCGACAATTGGATGGCCCAAAGGCAGGACCAAGCTCAAGCCAGTTTGGCCTTTGCGTTGCCACAATAGAGTCTATTTTTTGGTCGATCCTGGTCGGCTCTCCAGTCGGTACAGCCTTTGTTGTCTTAACTGGAAACCAGAAACATGACAAGGACCTGCCAGAAAAATGTTTTTGAGTTAAGATAGTGATTTTCATGGGTAATACTGGAATATGGATAATAATTAAAATATAACTTGACTTGTTTTGGAACTCTTCTTTTGGCATCACTGTGTATTATACATTTTTCCTTTGGGAAACAAGAAAAACTGACTCTCATCCTGCGGCCAGGACTATCTGCCAACTTATTGGCCCTGCTGTGGCGGCTGCATGTGTTATCCTTTTTATGTTTGGATAGCCACGAGCACCAGGAAAACTTCACTTGTGCAACAACCATCTGCCTCGCCATCGTGCCACTGCCGCTCCCTCTTTTGTGTGCACTCAATTTAGCCATTTCTTGCAATTCGGCGCTTTCTTTTGCCAAACTGGGGAAGCTGCTGCGGTGAATGCCTCCCCTACCCTCCCCTCCTCTCCCTACCCTCTGGGCCATGCCGCAACCAAAACGAATTTAATCTATTCTGAAAGTTTTCCATGGGCCCCCGAGAGAACTAGCTGCAAGTGTTCGGTGGTTGCGGAGTTTTCAGCTTTTCCATCTTCCTCGTCCTGCCCCGAGAACAAGGTGCCAGAAAATGTGACAGCCACTAATTAAGTCAGTCGGGAAATTGCACTCGGCGTTACTCTCACCCGAGGTGAGAGAATCGAATGAGAGTGGCTTCGAGTTGGCCAACAAATACAAATAAAATTCGGGCTGAAAGCACCTGGTAAAATGGCCAATGAATGAATGGTGTCTCTGAAGGTGTTTCCGGTTCTGCCTCTATCGTATTACGCATACGACCCTGTGGCTTAGTGTCAAATTATCAGCTACTTATTATTATTACAGTTATTAGAGTCGCCTTTTCTCTTTCGGCCCATCATAGCCCCAATCAATGTCAGCTGTTGTCATTGTTAGCGTTTTATTTAGCCTCCTAGCCAGGCCGTTTTCGGGGCTTTTGCGGCCCTTATGTAAACGCTGGGAAACGCAGACAAAAGCCTGCCAAATAGCGCAAAATGTGCGCCAATTTAGTTGTCGTTTAATTTGATGGCACAGCCGATTTGGCAGGCAAAACGGCACCCCAGGATTACGCTGGAGCAGTGCTGGCTGGCCACGTCATGAATGACTGCCCATCGAATGCCAAGCGGAAAAATTGCTGAGAGAAGCGGTAGCTCACACAAAAAATAGCATTCGAAAAAAATCCTAAAAAAATAACAGAAAGGAAAGCTTTCTATTGAAGGTTGGGCTAAACCAGAACGAAAATAAAAGTGACCAGCAATAAAATGCTAAAAGGAACATGCAAGTACATATGAAAGGACAGGGTCGAAAATAAAACCTACAGGTCAACTTCAATAAACTAAACAAGGAGTTTGAATATTTTTAAGCCTTGGGAAGCTTGGAATGATAATCCTTAAAGTCCACTCACCAGACACCCCACTGTATAAACTTGATCTTCAAATACTGTTGCTTTATTTCAAAAAGGGTATATCCCCGAGTGTTGCGTGTTATGCAGAAATATTTTGTATGTTTAGGCCAAGAGCAGAGGTGGAGTCACAGGGAGGATACTAAGTAGCAGAGACGGAGATGGTCACTAACACTCGAAATGTTCGCAAATAATGCAGACCATTACATTAATGACTGCGGCAGAAAGTCGAAAAAGCGCCAAAATGTCCACCAGGCAGACAAAAAACAGGGAAAACAAAAAAGACCGACCTAGAAAATAAAAAAAAAAACCAAAAGGAAAGTCGAGAAAATCGAAACATTATGAGGTCATTTTAATTATTTATGAGTGCGTGTGGCGAGCCTAGGAGTAGACTCTGCCAAGGTTAACAAAACAAATTCTCGGAACTTCATTTTTTAAAAATTGTGTGTTTGTGGAGGACTTTAAGAAACTCATAATTCTGTGGCCATATTGACCCAAATATAGATCGAGAGAATCCCGATAGGGCTCAGTTGGCCAAAACTAAAGCTGGGACGGGGGGGTTTATGAAGTTGGTGTCCATGTGCGTGCTTGGAAACTTTGATTTCCTTGCTGCTATATTTGGATTTATGTCCTGTCTTTATTTCAGCAGTTAGAAGCAGCCAACTTGCTCCGAGATTTATGACCTGCTATGTGGGAGTTTCCTCAATTGGCACTAGCTCAGTTGGCAGGACATCAATGCTGAGTGCTGGCCTGGCCCATAAGTAAATTAAACACATACTCCTTTGATACTGTACTCCTCCCCCGCCTTGTTTGGATGTTTACAAGATCGAAGCTAAGATGGTAAACAATGTGGAAAATTGCGTATACGCCACGAGTGCTCCAAGCAGCTTAACGACATGAAAAATGTCATCTAGTGAATGTCTCAATTTTTGTATGTGGTTGGGTGGCGAATTGCCATCAAAAAAATATATGTACGAGTATATGCCTGTGCATGCCTGTATTCAAAAGCAATTTCCTCACTTTATCTAGAAGTTATTTTAATGCAGACAAAATCCATTTTGTGTGCGCCAGCTCACGGAGATGTTACCAACTTTTTTGTTGCCATTTTCAGCAGCATTGACATCGTAGTCTGGCCCCAAAAATCTCCGCCTCCCCTCCCACAGCCATCCGTTTGCATACATTAGCCGATTTTGGCTGCTTTTCAGCCACATTATTTGCCGTTGTTGGCCATAAAAACGAGTATGTGCAAACTGTGCCGATGTCCATAAAGCCATGGCAATAAATTCAGCTTCATTAGGCCGGAGGCGGGCTACAAGAAAAACAACTCTGCGCCGACAATTTTTAATAATTCTCTGACAAATAATACTGCTGGAATTATTCTTAAAGTTGAAGATGATCTTGTGATTATTTAATGCATAAAATAATGTATTCATGGAAGTATAAACTCTCTCAAATTTACATTCTCTTGAATAATTGACACATATACTTCTCAGAACTCGAGTGAAAATATGCCAAAGGAAAAAAGGCCAATTTTACATCCGTTGCTAAAATCATAATTGCGTAATTTGGGTCCCGGGTTCCGGTTTCATTCGTCTTGGTGCCAAAACTAAGAAAAATTAGCCGAAATTAACCCAAATACAAAAGTTAGCCTAGTTTTCTGGGCGCGTGCAAACTTAACATCATTAATACTAATCCGCTATGGGAAAACCCCGCAAAAAATCCCCAAAAAAAAGAAAAATAGAAAAACAAAAGAAGTAAATATTGTGGAAAATGGAACCGTGTCAAAACTTAAGTCTGAGAAAGCAACGAAATAGTTACATGTTAGTTTGCTTGATTATGTAACATAATTGACGACAATATTTCCCCATAGACTTGCAAGAGAAATGCTAATGAAAAAATAAGAAAACTACGTCGCAGACGAAGGAGAACCCGGGGCATGAGGCAGCCATTGTGTTTTCTGAGTCATGGCGACTCTGTATTAGCGGGGCGGAAATGCCAGGACATCCGGTGTGGCGGTAGCCAAGCCTACTAAATGTAACCGTCTCCTTAGGGACCTGAGGATACATGGGAAGAATTAGTTTAATTTATAAAAGTTTTAGAACTCATTTTAGAGGCTTAATATTAATAATAGTAATTAAGTGTAATATTTATTAAAAAGTTTAGGTTAACATATTTTTTAGCTTAGTTTCATATTAGTTTTTCTCAGTGTATAATAAAGTAACGAGTAACCTATAGTTCGTTGCTTTCCTTTAGTGGCTGAGCTCCGTTTTAACCGTAAAGTTTCAACGAGAGTTTCCACCTTGCCACTCCGCCACCCGACATGTCCTTGAACCACCTGATTCCTTTTGGCTTTAACGGTCCGGCCCGGCCCTTGCCGACCCGGCTGAAGTGGCGAGTGCAAGTGAATAATGGCCGTCTTGACTGCAGTCAAGTCGGGCATATGGCTCAGAAGCAAT